GTCTTTCCAGTCACTTGCTATACATTTGAGGGCAGGACAATGATAAGGATGACAGAAGAAGAATTGATACCTTTGAGCTATGGTATCGGAAAAGAGTAATGAATATCCCATGGTTTGCCAAAAGAACAAACAAGTATGTCTTTGAGAAAGTGAAACCAGAGTGCTCCTTGGAGGCAAAGATAATAAAACTTTGCCTCACATGCTATATGTGTGTGTGTGTTTTTGTGTATGTATTTGTATATATATACACACATACATATATATACATTATGTGCGTGTGTGTGTATGTGATTATTATTGTTGTTAATGATGGTTATGTGCCATTAAGTCAGTTTTGACTCAAAGCAACCCTTGAGCAAAACAGTGCTTTGACCTGTGCCATCTTCACTATCACTGCTGTGTTTGCGCCCACATCATTCAGAATCTTCCTTTTTTAGTTTTTTGAATTAATATTTATGAATCATTTTTATTTTTATAAAGTCAAAGATATTTTGCTTTATAACAATTACCATTGGTTAATGTAATGAATTCATTATAATGCCTAATCAACCCCTTTATATTGCCTTTCTCTTTACTATAAGTATTTCAAAAGTAAATAAAGAAGTTAAAATATTCTTTTTTTTTCTGATCCTCTCCTTCGATGGACATGATGTTCTTTTCTGGGAAGTATAGTGATCAGGGGAACTTAAAAATAGACAGACCTAGACTTTATATCACATCTTGTATGAGCTTGAGAATAAAGAACTAAATTTATCTGCAAAATAGAAGTTATCTATTACAAGTCTCTTAAAAATTCTTTTTAGCCATTTACTACAAAATCTTTTTTAAAAATTACTCTGCTTGTGTAATAATTTGGGAAGATCCAATTAAAAATAGCATGGGTTAACATCACATTGACTTTGTTACTGTGGAGAAGTGGGAGTTAGCTAGAACTATTACTGTTTCCTTTTAAATATTCTCACTTCACATATGAGTTAATTACTTCTGTAAATAGGGTGGTGCCATATTTAAATATCTGAATCAACTTCTAAAGGAAAATGCCCAGTTTACTGTCTGGGTTTTTCTAACTCCACAGAATGAATGTTCAAAATTCTCTCCTTCTATTTTTGTTACATTTAGGTGATGCCTGTGTCTTTTGCTCCTGGGAAATTGGTTTGTGAAATGAAAGTAGAAGAACAGCATGCCAATAAAATGGGCACTCTACATGGTGGTTTGACAGCAACCTTAATAGACAGCATTTCAACGGTGGCTTTGCTGTGCACAGAACGGGGAGTACCTGGAGTCAGTGTCGATATGAACATAACGTACGTATCCAAACTATACCCCATACAACTTCTCATTTTAAACAGTTGAGAATAAAGTCATTAATTGCATAACAAAGCATAGTTATCTTTAGATTTGCCCTAAAATATTCCATGTCCTTTAAATATGTACCTTGAGCAGTTGGTTTCCAAGTACCAAACCAAACCCATTGCCATCCAGTTGTGACTCGTAGCACGTAGCAACCCTGTAGGACAAAGCAGAAGTACCCTGTAGGGTTTCCAAGGTCAGAACCTTTATGGAACAGACTTCCACATCTTTCCAAAGACAAAGCAGAAGTACCCTGTAGGGTTTCCAAGGTCAGAACCTTTATGGAACAGACTTCCACATCTTTCTCTTTGGAGTGGCTGGGGAAGGGGTCAAACCACCTTTCTTTTGGTAGCAACTGAGCATTTTAACCACTATACTAGCAGGGCTCTTTGATTTCTAAATATTGTATCTATCAAACATTTTAAAAAAGCAAAACTTTAGCTTTCAATATGTGTACTGATGGGAAAAGTTATCACAAACTCATAGATAGTGCCTATTTTGTACAGTGGCTAATAAGTTTCACTTACACAGATGTGAAGGTACCCTCTTTGCATCTTGGGATGGACAGTCTCTGAAAATCTACTGGAGGGTCAACTATGAGTCAGTTCCAACTTGATGACACACACCACCAACAACAACATCTTCACACCTGTATTAGGAGTTCTGGTAGCTTAGTGGTAAGGAGCTTTGATGCCAACACAGTTCAAATCCGTGAGTGGCACACAATTCGAATCCGTCAGCCGCTCCATGGAACAAAGATGGACAGTCTCCTCCAGTTCAATTTACAGCTTCAGAAAACCCACTGACAGATAAGCTTTGAGTTGTTTCTGACTTAATGGTACATAACAACAACATGGAGTCTATATATTATGTTGTTGTTGTTATGATGTGCCATCAAGTCAATTATGATTCCTAGAGACCCTACATGTAATAGCTCTCAACCCTGTTCTATTCCGAGTCAGTCACACTGTCTCTGACATTCCTGCCCTCATTACCCCAGTTAGTGTGTCAGTCCATCTCATTTATGGTCATCCTCTCCTGAGCTGTCCTTCCACCTTTCCAGCATGATATCTTTATTCTCTGAGGAATGGTCCGTCTAGCCACATGGCCAAAGTATGTGAGATGGAGCCTTAAAATCCTTGCCTCCAAGGAGCGTCTTGGTTTCACCCTCTCCAGGGAAGTCCATGGTATTGTTCTGTACTCTTCTACAGCTCCACAACCCAAAAGCATCAATTCTTTTCCTGTCATCTTTGGTCATTGTCCAGCTCTCTGATGCATAGCAAGTAATTGCAAAGACCATGGGCTGGACCAGGCTCACCTTAATCTCTAGACTGACAGTGTTGCTTCTCAGTACTCTGGAGAACTCCCTGACAGCACATTTTTCCCCAGTGCAGTTTGTCTTTTGATTTCCTCACTGCTGGTGCTAAGAATGTTGGTTGTGGAGCTGAGCAAGCTGTAACTGTTAACAATCTCAATCTCTTCTCCATATATCATGGCACTGCCAATTGGCCTAGTGGTGAGAATTAATTTTCTTGATGTTGAGCTTCAATCTGCATTGCAGGCTGTAGTCCTTGACCCTCTACAGCAAATGCTTCAGACTCCCCTCAGTTTCTGAATTCTGAATACAAGAAATTCTGAATATAATTCAAAGACAGTTGGAAAAACTTTTATATGCACATTTTAATCTTGTGCCAATGTGAACACTAAGAGTGCAGTCTTAAGAACAGACTATAAACTTGGGTCTTTCCCTGACACTGTGCAAACAGGTTCTGTAGGTTTAAATGTAAACCTTTTGCTGATGTTGTTAGGTGTCATCAAATTGAGTACAACTCATAGCTGATCCTATAAACAACAACAGATATGAACCCTGACCTATCCTGTACCGTCCTTACGGACTAGAGCCCATTGCTGCAATCCCTGTGTCAATCACCTGGTTGAGGATATTCCTTTCCTTCTCTATCCCTTCACCTTTGCAAACATGATGTTCTCCAAGGAATAGTCTCTCTTAGCGACATGCCCAAAGTTATGTGAGGCAAAGCTTCGCCATCCTTACTTCCAAGGAGCAAACTGACATCACCTTCTCCGAGACATACCTGTTCTTTTGGCAGTCCATGGGATATTCAGTACTCTTATCCAACACAATAGCTTAAAAGCATAAATTTTTCTTCTTTCATCCTTATTTACTTTCCAGCTCTCAGATGCATAGTAAGTGATTTCAAAGACCATAATCTCAATTTTCTTTAGTCCTAAAACAGTATTGTTCCTCAGTAATTTGGAGAGGTCCTTGACAGCAGACTTTCCCAGTGCAGTATATCTCCTGACTTCTTTTGCCAAGGGTACTGATTATAGATCCAAGTAAAATGAAGTGATTGACAGTGTCCATCTTTTCTCCAGTTATCATGATGTTGCCTGTCAATCCAGTACTGAGAATTTTTGTATTCTTGACATTGAGATGCAATCCATATTGACGGCTGCAGTCTTTGACCTTCTTCAGCAAATGCTTCAGGAATTTCTTTTTTTTTTCCTGAATTTTAAACCATATAGTCATTCATTCTCCTCATTTTATTCCGCTCACTTCCTAAGTAGTCTATCAGAGGTTTTTGGCTCTAAAAATTAAGGAAAATTGAATATCCAAATTTATATCACATATATACAACATTTTAAAAGGTGAGCTTGGTGAGCTCTAGTTTCCAATCTTACAAAGGATTCATTCACTTCATTTGAATATTCACATTTATCTCTAGCTTAGAGCTAGTCACAGACTGTAAAGTTGTTGGGTTTGAACATTTACAGAGATTTTGGATTTTCATTCATTCATTATTGCACTTTTTTCTCTATCCTCCCTCCCCCCAGTTCGCTCCTCTCTTTGAAAAGCAAAAAATAAACGTCTTCGTTAGTATGCAATCCCTCTGACCCTGACCCTGCCTCCACCCCCCCCCCAAATGTACTCCACTGTGCAACCTTAATTCTGGATTCCTGTGATAATTATAATATGCTATCATATATCACTTTTAAACTGTTCTCTCCCTCATCTGTTTAAATTCAGTATACATAATCTATCCAGTTTTTCTCAGTCTTCCCCAACCCTGATGTCAGTCACTTTCTACAACAGTGGCACCATGCA